ACTCTTCACAGTGTTCCAACGACGCTAAAGACTCAACCACGAAGGCAGTACAATTGGCAGCGTCGGTTACAATGACAGTCGCCTCTTCTGCTTTCCTGTTTAAAGATCGCAGGATAGTTTGACGTGCGGTAGCTGAGACAGCATCGCGACCCTGTTTCAGGCTCAGTCCAAATAGAATGGCCAAGTTCATGACATCGTAAGGCCCTCGTAATTCAACTGGCCTGCAAGCGCGGCTAGTCAAGATGAGACCTCTTCCTCGAGTTGCACTAAATACACATCGTCATTCTGTTTATGAAAATCTGCCGCTGAGTACTTACTCTACAATGCTCCGCGCATTGGCGAACATGTCGCGCCGCACAGAACTGTCAGTAAGGGCTGTTGAGTATGAGATCTCGAACGCGATGCCCTTTTTGACAGCCATTTGTGCCGTCTTTCCCTTGGAGACCCAGCGCGTTTTGGAATTCAGGTCGATGCCAATGATGTCTGCGTCCATCTTATTGACGACTGTACTGAAAGCTTGCTCGTTTTTCGGATATACGGCCAGAATGTCGTATTTCGAAATGCTGGGGTGACGAATGATCTTATGCAACAGTGATACGTCGTCCAGTGCTATCGACAATCTGGAATAAATACGAAATTTCTTTCCTTTAACCGACAGCTTCGCTATGTCGGCGTCGGTTAGACGCACCATAAACGGCTCAGGTATGTCCACTATTTTTCGCGCCGCCTTTTTCCTTCGTTTCCCACCGCCGCCTTCCGCCTGAGGCGGCGGAACTTCCTCCATGAGGTCGAAAGCTTCGTGATTAATTGCGACCGTGTCATAGCCGAGTTCAACTGCGAATTTCACCAACTTCGCAGTCATTGCCGGATTGGTGGGATCGTGCAGTATGTTTAAATCAGCGAAAATATCTTTGCTAAAGCCTTCCATGATCGTCAGCAATCGAGCGGTCTCATAATGCACAGGTACGTTTGCCGTAAATGAAAAGAAGCAACGTATGGACAGCAAATGGCTTCAGTTCCTGGCAGCAGCAGTCTGAAATAACGAGTTCTTGTCAGTTTCGAGAGACCCGTGCGGAAGATAATTTTTATAGTGCTCGATTATGGCGCCATTCACAAATCACTCAAACAAGATAGTGAAATCTACTTTTAGAGGAGTTATGCGTGATACGAAATAGTGAAGAAAGTGATCGGTCATCAAGATGAAAATTTATTGCCAATGAGTGGGAAAATTGAGCAATTCTAAACGTGTAACAACATTAATAATCGTACGTGCAATAAATTACAAACAAACAAAATTTCAATTAATAAATACACATCAACGATCACAGACGTCACTACAATTTAACAAGGCATATCATTAGTTTATGATTGATAGTACCAATTAATAATGTGTTTTTGTGATACAAAGCTACACTTGATGCGTTCAAAGTTGAGCCATCGTCCGCGAATGGCTCTGTGATCGTGTAAGTATTCCGATCCGAGAACTTCACGTGAAGAACCTAAACCTCAGCAACGTGAATCATACAGAAATGTTAAGGTTACAAGCAACAAATTAAGTACCTGCGAAGGAGCAGTATAACTCTTTGGATGCTCCATATGGAGAAGCAGTCGATAGACTACAGAATGAGCACCTATGTACAAGTCGCCGTTGTTCGGCGAAACAAACAGATTGTCCGGAATAGACGCCAGCTCAATGTTCTGTAACAAGCAACAGTAAACTGATTTTGATAAATAGCAAAACAGGCTCTATTATCTCAAAAATTAATACCACATACGAAAAAGCCCTATTTAATGTTTAATAAACTACACTGATAAACACGCTATCCTATCTGGTCTCAAGTGTGATTAAGGAAGGAGGAGGACGGGACAGCGTGGCGAAGTCTCCGCAGAATTTCGCTACCTGCCTTCATGGTACTGATGTCATCGAAAATTATACCGGCTCATTGTCGACTGGCTTAAAAGGACCGAGCAGACCGTTGGGGTCTGAGGCACACTGCGAAAAGTCGGTGATCAGAACCTCCTCATCGCTATCTGCCAGCCGGAGGCGTAGAATTACTACAACGGCTGACAAAGATCGACGGAACGACGACAAAGATATCAGTCAACAACGGAGTCGCTACCCGTTCTCAAAGGAAGAAGCAGACACCGCGATGCGATTATACCACGCAGAAAAGGCTCCAGGAGAACGCCATTCCCAATGGGAGCTAACAGTCGTAAGTTGGAATATATCCTCACTCAGAGGACAGAGCAAGAGTTAGTTGATGAGGCCATAAAGTACCAACTCGACATTGCTGGACTCTTGTTAACGAAACGCCAAGGCACTGGCTTCCTGAACCATTGAGGGTGGAAGCTATTGTTGTACTCAGGTATCGATATCATGACGAACGCTCAAACCAGATTGGTGTTTTGGTAGAACCCTACCTAGATGATAGAATCACTGACTGGAAGCCTGTCAACGGAAGAGCGGCAATCCTTCGACCGAAGTTTCAATAGGCTAAAGCGTTGAATTGTTACAGGTCTATGCGCCCAATTTAGAGGGAGAATATGATAACTTCCTTGAGAAAGTGGAGCGTGCTCTGCATGGTTTGCCGAATGCGGAGTCCCACATACTCATGTGCGATTTTGATGCCCACGTCGGAGTAGATGCTGAGAAATGGAGAGGAGTCATTGGAAAAAACGGTCCTAGCGACCATAACAATAACGGCATGAAGTTGTCACAGTTATGTGCAAACTACAACCGCTTGTGCATTATCAACACCTTCGAGAATCGAAAAGTGCACCAGTATACTTGGTACAGGGAAGCTTGTGAACAGAAGCCGATGATCGATTTGATAAACGTATCGTCTGACTTATGACGGTCTGTAGGGGATGTTCACTTTAAGAAAGGCGCAAAGCTATCAACCTGTTGGCACGCTGCGCTGTAAGAAATGGAGTACCATACGAAGATCCGGCGACAAAAGCAGAGTTAAATGGAAAACATTACCTTCGGTCGAAACGAGGGCAAAACTTGCAAACGACATCGCAAGGCGGTTTGAACAGAACCCGGTGATGACAAATGATATGGAAACCGAGCGGAAACTTTCTAAGAGCGGAATACTCTAGGCTGCCGCTGAATGCCGCGGATTTAAAGGGTTGGCCTGCCGCCTGGATGGCAGAAAAGAACTTCCTGGTGAAGATGAGAGGTATAACTGGCAGTTAAAGAGAAGGCTTCATTCAAAAAATGGCTTGGAAACAAAGAGCCTATTACTCGCGTTTGACATGTCGAGACACGCAAGGCGGTAGCGAAAGCAGCGGCGAAATTCAAAGCTGACTGCTAGAAGTTCGGTGAGGGGTTGGACTCGAATTTCCACACGGCAAAGAAAGCATTCTGGCTCCACGGTGAAAAGAAGGGCAGTCACAGAGTCTTCAATGACAGGTCAGGACACCATCTTGCCAAGAATGAGGACATTCTTTGACGATGGAGAGAGTACTCTAAGGAACTTCTTAACTCTGACCAACCGTAGGAAGACTCGCGTTTAGAGCAGCACGGGACGGATATTACTATCACTCTAGATGAAATCACACAAGCTGTGAAATGCTTGAAAAATGAAAAAAACTGCTGGAATTGATGAAATCCGCCCTGAAATGCTCAAGGCATTAGACGAAAAAGAAATGTGCTGTCTTAAACATGTCTCTCAAACTGCAGTGACTACGGAGATGGCATCAGTGCACTGGGGAACGGGAGTTGTAGTCCTCTTTAAGAAAGGAGACCACAGGGGGTGCTCCAATTATAGGGGCATTACATTACTGAACTTCACAGCTAAAGTCTACGTAAAGGTGCTAGAACGGAGGTGCTGCAGACAAACTGACTCCAAGATACAAGAAGAGCAGTGTGGTTTCCGGCCGGCCCGGTCGAAGCACCTGTGATCATATATTTGCCCTGCGCCAAAATGTTGAGAAACCGTAGGAGTACGCCCATCCGGCGTAAATGTGTTTTGTTGACCTAAAAAAGGACTATGACCGGATCCCACGGAAAAGTCTGTGGTCATGTCTTCGAGCATACGGGATAGATGGCCAGCTGCTAAGGGCCTTCAACCACTGTATTCTTATAGGAAGTGCTGCATCAAAGTAAATGGCGTTAAGTCGAAACCCTTAAACGTTGGCACTGGTCTCAGTCAAGGCTGCGTTCTGTCCCTTCGCTTGTCTGTATTGTAGATGGATAGAATAGTCAGGATCAGCCAAGGCGAGGAGTGTATCGCTGTAGGAGATGCGAAGACGAGAAGTTTCCTGTTTGCAGACGACCTTATTTTGTTAGCATCTTCTGAAACTGATCTACAGTGCACCCTGGAAAGGTTCGCAGCCGAGTGTGAAGTGTCCGGCATGCGTGTGGACGCATCTAAAACGAAAAGCCTGGCTGTTTCTAGTTCTCCTGCCCGTTTTTCTCTCCAGATTAACGCAAAGGTAGTAGAGCAGCTGAAGTTCAAATTCTTTGGAGTCATATCTACTAGTGAAAGAAAATTTGTGGAAGAGATCGACCGGCAAATTGGAGCAGCCAGTGGCGTTCTCCGTGAACTAGCCCCAATCCATTGTGATTAAAACAGAACTGAGTCTGAAAACTAAGCTCTCGGTATTCAAGTCGATCTTCATCCCCATGCTTATCTATGGTCATGAGTCATAGACAATGACTGAAAGACTTCGATTCCGGATACAAGCGGCTGAAATGGGCTTTCTGAGACGATACGCTGGCCTTACGCGTGTCGGCCTGGTCCGGAATCCAGATATCCGCGAGAGCCTTGGTGTACAGCCGCTGAATTTCGAGAATTTGTCACAGCTGCGATGGTTAAGGTACGTGTTGGAATGCCTCCAGAATGGAAGGCTAAGTAACAGTTTCTTGGCCAAGCAAGCGGCAGAAGGCCCAGGGGACGGCCAAGATTAACCTGGTGCAAATATATGGCAGGAGTCTTTTCCAGACTCTAGCTGGCTTCTGCCGAAGCTCAGTCTCTGGCACAGAATCGAGAAGGTCGGAAGCACTGTCTGACGCATACGCCTCCGTGACCCGAAAGAAGAAGCGGCCATGGATGATGGAGATGAAGAAAAACATGCCTTTCATTAACGTAGTTTTCGTTACCTTTCACGTGGGAAATTCTTCCTGTACATTTTATGCGACATATTCTATGGGTTATTTCCATAAACTCAACCAATTTTTGAGAAGCAGTGAAGAGGTTGAATATTTTTTTCAACTCATTGCTAGCAGCCTGTTACTTGTCATATTTTGACACTAAGTTGAAGGGTGTTGAACATTCGTGATGGTCAAGAAAGACGGTATATTAGCTGGTTTAAGAGTCTCGGTTACTGCGAATGATGACATCTCGTCACCAAGCAACATTTCTGTGCTACGCCAAACAGTATGCCAGCCTCTTTTCGAGGCTAAAACCTTCAGAGTGAAATATATATATTCGAATTCTGAAATGAATTTTGGCATAAAATGCTCAACTTTCGCTTTTAAAGATGAACTGCACACATATATGTTGCATAGTTGTATTTAAATAATAACTAACAAATACCATTCGAAAATGCAACGTGTTGTCCGCCAGAATATCGTATACTATCACCGATTTTGGCGAAACATTTGATACGTATAGAAGCCTAAAAATTGCGCTACAAAAGGGTAGTTACTGTCAAAACTGAAACATACTTAAAACAAATCGGTCCTTAATCCATAATCTGTAATTATAATTTTTAAAAAAAAATGAATTTTTAAACTATGAAATTAGAACGCATGATATTGGGATATCCTGTCAGCAGTGAATCAGCCTGAACTTTAGAGGCACGTCTAAGAGCAGATGATCGAAATTTGCCCTGATTTAGCACGTTCAATCCATACCAAAGTAACCTCTCACATTCAAGAATTCGATAATTCACTTTACCTTTTTTTGACGAGGCAGAAAAACTTTCGTGTAAATTACATGTTAAGCACAACAACTTTGAAAATAAAATTTTAGTTCTTCATCGAAAAGAAAAACAATCATCTAATGGCCATAAAAGTTGCAATTTTACGATAACTAATGGAGAGATTTGCACTTACATGCATGAACCATTAACACTTGCTAGAGTGAAAAGATTCGTCAAATATGTTTATACAGCTTCGCCGTAGTTAAGACTGAGTTTTGCCGCGGTTAAGACGCAGGTACGAGTGAGTTATACCGATATGTACACAGAAAGCGAAACTACGTAGAAAGAAGGTTGCGTAGAGAGGGAGACGACAGAGAGCAGCAAATATAGCCATTCAGACATTTTCCGATGCGCACGTTTTCCGAAAAAAAGACAACTTCCATCCGTATAATTCCACGCTATCGTAGAAAAGACTACATTTGTAATAAGGATAGATCACCTTATAGTTATGAGGCTAAACCGGCAGTGGAAATGCACCTAACAAACTTTGTCAGAAAAGAGGTTTACAGATATTCCATTGTAGCGTTGCAGCAGTCCAGCATATCTCGGGATTACTGGCCAATATGATCCATCACGAAACTTTACATCTACTGAACGATTTAAAGTAGACATTAATTCTTTGCAAAATCAATATGGTGAGCTTAACGTTTATGCGTTTATGATGACAACGGTCATTACAGAAGTAAAATGACCGAAAATTATGGTCATAAGCTAAAAATTTAACATTTAACAAAAATATATAACATATCCTTGGAACAATCAAAAACTGCAACGCTGTAAAACACTTCTGTATTGGCATCAGTTTTTCATTGGCAGCAATCTTATTTGTAACAATGCATGACTTCCGAATAGAGATGTTTATATCGAATAACTATCTCTGTCAAAACTTCATTAAAAACGCTGCTTACTTTTGACGGCGATCGATAGCTATGCCGGCCGGCATGCTGACAAACTGTTCGACGATCTTCGCCTCTGCAATAGCATCGTCGTAGTAGATGATGCTGCCCAGTTTTAGTTGTAGAAGCATCTCAGCTCTACGCAGGATCGGCTGGTTGAACATCCGGTCATTGACCAGGAAGAACTTACCATCGCCGACCGCTACAAGGTCGTTGGCCCTAAACTAAACCGTTCAGGCAGATATCAGCTCAAGATAACACAAAGAACAGCTCGTTACGAATGAATTAACGCATTCCTTATCGACTTTTTGTGTACCAGCGATGCGGTTCGTCTATCATAGTGGAACACTTCAACGGTGTCTCCAGACAGTGCATGGTTTATTACGTAGACAGTGGTAACGCCTGAACAAACGCCGCTGGCAATGAAGTTGAAAGATACTGTCAGTCAGGCGCATTTACCTTTCACCTCAAACGACGATATTCCATGCGGATTGAATTGAGCAAGATCGAACTTATTGTTAGCGGCGACTTTTAGTAGCTTCGCTTGATAAGCCCTTTGGCTAGAATTCAGTGAGAGGGAAAACAGCTTGCCTCGCACGTCGGCAAGCTCAGCCACTGGCAAATATCGCAAACCCTAAATAGCAACTTATATAGATAATTTTCATTAAGGTACAGTAATCGAAAGAAAACGTCGCTTCTGAGCATGTTAATGAAAGTTGATGTTAAATAAAGCAAACGACTTTGACTAGGTTATGCAAATTCGATAGATCAGACCAGCCAAGTCCAGTGCAACGAAATTGAATCTTACAACTGCATCGCATCGCAAGTAGTAAAATATCATGATATATGCGCTGCTTAAATGGCTGAAAGCATTTAGAAGGATGGGGATGGTGTCATAATGTGAAACCAAGTTCGAAGGAGTTATTCATTTGTTTGCACACTTCCAATGGACAAATCAATATTTCGTGTTTTATAAAAACATATGGTAAATATCTGACTCAGCATCATTATTTGTGACAATCACAGATCTCTGCATGTGCCGATATCACTGGATCAGCTTCAGAGAAGAAAAAATTCAACTAATTTTCTAGATCGAATGCCTTGCAACTGTGGCGCTTGGTAGAAGAGACTCACTTAGTAGCGCTCTGCATTTTCAACCAGCTAACTGTTCCCTTCTAGTCAAAAAACAATCGTTCCAATTACCAAAATTCATGCTCAACTGGTTTCCTCGGTTTCGCGTATGACCTCTGAAGGCTCTTT